TGAGACACAGACAGACAGGTGAGGTACCTGTCTTGCAGGGGCCTGTCCCTCGGGTGGTGAGCTCTGGTCTGGAGGACACTTCCTCTCTGAACTGACACATGTTCATGTATGTTCTTCCATCAGATCCACATACAACCTCCAGATGTTCACACACACACACCTGTTCATCTTCATCCTCCCCCGCCCCTCGCCCCCCTCCTTCCCCCTGACACCGCAGCCCGGTCCCGCACAGCCCGTAAAACACGCTCCGGTTCCCCGGGTCGCAGGCTTGTCCCTCCAGGTTCCCGCACTCCTGACAGCAACCGCAGGAGTCCGGCACCAGCCCGGCTCTGCAGCCGCGGGTCTCCGGGCACAGGTCCGGCTCACACGTGTCGCAGCCCGCCGGGCCCCCCGGACCCCCCGGGCCCCCCGGACCCCCCGGGCCCCCCGGGCCCCCGCCTCCAGGCTCCTCATAGTCCAGCAGCGGGTCGCTCAGAGAGGGCAGGCCGGGCGGCGCGGCGCTTAGGGCGGGCAGCTGGTTTGGGAAGGCCCGGCATGTGTGGAGGGTCAGACAGAGACCGATGAGAACCAGTCCCCGGATCTTCATCGTTCTAACCCGGGCTGTGGGACCAGCTCCGCGGGACGAGCCGCTTCTCTGTCCGGGACCACGAGAGACCGCAACCCGGGCTGAGAACGGAGGACGGTCCGGTCTGTCGGAGAACTTCAGACCCGACACCCGCTCTCCTGTTCCCGCAGAGGACTGGGACAGAAACCGGGACAGAGACCGGGACAGACACTAAACCTGAAGACCTAAAAACAAAGATAAATTAAAGTCAAGAGTTTGTTAAAAAAACTGAGAAAAACGTTTCCATGGTCCGGTTTTAGTCCAGAACCAGGACCAGGACTAGAATCAGGATCAGGATCAGGACTAGAATCAGGATCAGGACTAGAATCAGGACCAGGATCTGGATCAGGATCAGGACTAGAATCAGGATCGAGATCAGGACCAGGACCAGGACTAGAATCAGGACCAGGACCAGGATCGGGATCAGGACTAGAATCAGGACCAGGATCGGGATCAGGACTAGAATCAGGACCAGGACCAGACCGTCTGAAGTTTAAACAGCTGAGTCGCTCGCGCTGCTCCACAGACTGACACGAGACATCAGAGACAATTTACCAAACTAAAACAAGAGACTTCCGTTCAAGCCCTTCAAAATAGATGAAGTGTGACAGAAGTTCTCAGAGTTCAAGCTGAGCGACTCGGGAACAGATCCAGAGGTTCAACACCTGGAACCATGAGAAGCTTTGAGAAACACGTGTTGTCACGGGAACAGCATTGATTCATCTAATATCTGATTGGTAATAAATATAAAACAAACCAAATCAAAACGTTGTAGTCGTCTTTTAAAAACGCTTCACGTTGGAACAGATTTACATTTTATATTTTAACTTTATTTTGAAGACGAGGCTCTTATTTCCGTCCCTGTTGTTTCAGCTGCACGCGCAACAGCAACTGACTGAAGTTTGTCCACAGACAGAGAAGAGACGACGGTTAGCACTGATCTCAGACTGTGGATCTGAAGCTGAATCACATCCGATATGTTTGAAATCACCACAGAACATTTACTGAGTTCTGACCCACTGAACTAACAGACTACCGTCATTCTTCATCAGTAGAGTTCAGACCCTTTTTCATTATTGATTCATCAGTTTGTCCAGTTTATGTGTCTGATGCTTCAGGTTGGTCGACTGTCACACAGAGGAAGAAGAGGAGGAAGAGGAGGAAGAAGAGGAGGAAGAGGAGGAAGAGGAGGAAGAAGAGGAGGAGGAGAATAATTGATTCAGAACTGCAGGGTTTGATGTGTTCTCCTCCTCCTCTTCCTCTTCATCCTCCTCTTCTCAGCTCCACTTCGGACTGATGTGCTTCAGTGTGACTGTGACATCAGGAGGAGGAGAATCTGAAGCTGCTGCGTCTCCATGTCAACAAGTGTCTGTTTGTTTGTTTACATCAAATATAATCACAACAATATCAATTCTAATATTATAAATAATACCAATGGGTAACACTTTAGGGAACACAGTATTAGTCATTAATACATAACTAATAAGGATTTCTATTAGTGCTCAGTAAGGTTTGTAATTGAACACTTTCTTATTTTTACTTAACAACTGGTTTATTCTTGGTAAATCCTTAGGAGGCCACTAGTTGGCCATGATCGTAAGTTATTAGTATTTAGTATGGTTCAAAATAAAGAGGCTATAGACTCGTCACACACTGTCTTAATAATCTACAGTTGAGACAGAGCAGCAACATATTAGTACATAATGTATTAGGAGTCTACTTTGATCCATATTATATATCAGCAACTTAACCTCAAGACTAACTAGCTGCTTATGAAGAGTTTGTCAAGAATAAACAACCTATTCAGTAAGAATAAGACATTGTTGAATAAATACCTAACACATATGTAGTGATGCTTAATGCAGATCTTATTGATCATTAACACATACTCGTATTACTCACGTATTAGTGGCTAACAGTGTGTTCCCTAAACTCAAGTGTTACCAACAATGTTATTATTGTTGTTGTTATTAACAATAATAATAACACTCTCCCAACAAGAAGTTCTCTCTGGTTCTTTATTTTAAGTTTAGTTTTTAAATAGAAGAACTAAACATTGTTTATATTCCTGTTTAGTTTTACTTCCTGTTTAGATTTTATTTCAAGTTGAGGTCAAAGGTCATTGAATCATCTTCAGGAGACCAAATAAAAACGACAGCTTGAGTTTGACTCTTTATGTTCGATGAGAAACAGCAGAAGCTCGGAGTCGAGCGGCTACATGTCGTCAGAGGAACACAAACAAAACAAATGAGCGTTTGTGTCAGAGGGAGGGAAACTTCTTCTACAGTTTCAATGTTCACAAGACAGAAAAGTGAAAACGGCATCACGTCTGTATAGAAAGTTTAACCTCTGACTTCAGTTTGTACACGAACACAGATTCTATACAAACAGCATTTTCTTCTGTACACCAGTGAAAATAAAATCATGAAACTGTGACATCATCAGAAAGCGTCAGACGGAGCAGCAGACACAGACTCACTTTATAAAACCAGGTTTTCACTCAAGCAGAATTTAAATGATTCATGTTCCTGATTGAATCCCGGATCCACATTCAGAGCTATTGGCTGCTGTTGACGACCAATCACGACGCAGCTTGATGCTTTGATTGGACACACATAAACACAAGGAATCAAACCTGTGACGTCTGTTTCTGGAGATTTAAACAAAACAAACTGGCCTATGAATCAAAGCTGCAGAGAAAATAACCAAAAACTCAGTTTCTGCCTCTGATGTAGACGAACAAACTGTAACAATAAAAACAAGAAGAAGAAGAAGCAGCTCCTGGTGGTTAACGTGTCGCCGGCTCACTGATCATCAATGGTCATATTCTGCACAGGAACATGGATGTTGCCATGGCGTCGTCAAGGTTTAATAAAGTGAGTCGTGAAGCAGCTGAGCTTCAGAACAGGAACCTGAGAACGTCACTGAGAACAATCACAGTAACTGAGTACATTTACTCAGTACAAATACTTCAGTATTTTCTTTCCGTGCTACATCACACTTCAACACAGTTACTGACACCTGCTGGTTATACGTGGAAATCATTATATTTCAATAAAAGTTTTTAAAAGTAA